AACGTGAAAGGTCATTTTAAATCCTGCATGGTGCCTACAGAGAAGAGACTGTGTACAAACACAAAAATGGTGCTCACATATAAAGCTAGTGGGTTGTTCAAGATCCATAAACAAATCTAAAAATCGAATCATTGCTGCTTTTTTATCTGTATAATTATACATGTTAGACTGATTTACAGTAGGTGAGAGTTCAATGTGGCTATTACCGCCGGGCATATACCACCGCCGCTTTAAATGGACAAGCACGTGTTTTCAATGAATGACAGCAGTTTGTGAATATGCGTCCAGGGGGCACAAAGGGATGTGAACAGCAGAAATAGTATATACAGTAGCTGTAAATATGCTACTGTTCTTATAAATGAAGATGAAACGATAAAACGAAGCATTTCAATTCCTTCATTAATCATTAAACATTTGTTAACACGCTTTATCATCATTGTGACCTTAAAAAAGTGCAATGAGGATTCATTTTGGAAAATAGAATTGAAGAAATAAAGACAACTAAAATAAAAGCACAAACATTCAGAACAAATAAGTAGGCCTAAATAAATAAATAAAGCAGTCTTTTAGACTAAATACAGATATGAGTAATTTGGAAATATTAATGTATTAATGTTAATAATAATGTGGGAAATATTATTTTAAACTAGATTAAAAAGTTTGTCAAGACAAACATTAGGTTGGCTTGAGAAAGCTTAGACTGTATGTTTTTTAAAGTAGTTTTTAAAAGCTTAAATAAAAAAAGTACTTTAATGTAGTTGTAAGTTTCAACAAGCTTAACATTTAACGCAGTTTTAAGTTTAAAGTAGCTTAAAGTTTTAAGTAAATTTTTTAATTAATTACATTATTTTAAATTTACTTCATTTTGATTGGACTTCAACTGCCTATGCGTTATCTACTACAATGCAAAGTTACTTGTCAAATAAATGACCATGAAGCATTAATTTGAGTTTAAGTTATTATCTTGTTCATGAAAACTGCATGCATGGAAAAAAGAGAAAAATTTCAGTTAAAGATTCAATAACTCTCCTTAAAAAAACTCACCTTTTATTAGATTAATCATTTTTAGAGAATTAAGTTACACATTTAAATGGTTGTTTGTCTCCACCTATTGTCATAATAATGTAATCTCTACAGATTTATTCAGTCATCATTTTGAGCTAGTAAATCATTATTTCCATAATTTAGTAAATCAAAGTTTTGGCTTTTCCTAACAGGCAGAAAGGAGCTTTAGTTTTAAATAGTTTTATCAAAACTTGTCAATTATTTACTGTCAATTGTTTGCACACAAGAATGTTTTGTCTTGGTGATTGGACATTCCAGTACAGACACAAAAAGTATATAGTGCAAAGTTCTGCAAACATTAAATATATATTACATGCATAAATGTATAAAATAAAATTATATAGAAAGACAGTATTGCTATAAAGTGGGGGGGATGGGAGGAAAAAAACGAAAAAAAAAAAAAAAGACGTGCAAATTTGTGATCTTTGTTTGGATTCATCGGATCTCTTTCTGCTGCTAAATTAGACCAAAACAGTCATTATTTCATAAAAAAAAAAATTATAATATATTTTACATTTTTTATAAACACGTTTCACTCTCTTCTCTCCCGACGGCGAGTTATAAAGGTAAAGTTGTTTTTATATTCACACATTCGTTCATTTAGAAGTCTCTATGTTGTTCACCATGTAATTTTGAATATTCGATCAGAATTAGCATGCAAGTATGACTTGAAAACAACATTAACACTGTTTATTTCACTGTGAACAATGTTGTACTTTGATAGTCATTGGCTGCTAATATGATTTCGCAATTTAGAGTTTGCAAATAATACTTTTATGAAATTATAAGAAAAAGTCTGAAAGTGTGTATATAAAACCAACTTTACCTCTATCGGCGAGTTTACTCACCTCTGACCTGTCACAGAAGCCTGGTTTAATACAGTCTGAAGGTCGGGGCGGGAATGCATGTATTACATAATTATTTTTTTTTTTGTAACACGAGAGCGCAGTCATGTACGTTAATCTCTAAAACTGGATATGCGAGCTCTTGAATAGGCTTTTTCAAATCAATTGCTTAGAAGTATATTTTATTTATCTTTACTCCTTGCTTAAACTTAGTCAAAAACTATTATGATTTTAGAATTAGATCGATGCGTGACCAATGACAATGCTAACAGACTTAATTGGCGGTATTGTGAAGTGAATTTTTGCCTACCAGAACTTTTAGCAAAGGTGAAACTTTTTATTTCTTTACGACAAAATAATTATGCTAGAAATGTTTCTGGATGAGATATTTATGTGATTTATACATAATAGGGGTGTTCTGATTGGTCTTAAAGCATCACTAAATTGTGCAGGCATTACAGCTCAAACAATTTGTTACATTTATCAAAATAAACAATAAAGCTCTTGAAACCCTGCTTTGAGAAATATGTAGCGTTGTCAAATTTTAAATACCTCAAGTCATTTGTTTTATTATTTTATCACTGACAGTGTTCTTGTCTTTTATGTAAAATTATTTCAGTTTAAGATCACGTGTAAAATAAAATATTGTACAGACAACAATGAGCAAATAAGGACAATAGTGTAAAATTAGTAAATAAGCCCCAAATTTTTTGCCAGTCCTATTGAAATTGATTCATTGTCATGAAAGGAAAAATTGACCATACATTGTTAATGCATATTCCAATATGTAGCCTTATGGTGTAAGTTCTTAAAAAGGGCCATAATGAAAATCAGAGTTTTTCTCAAAAGTAATTAACTAGTACTCAGAGTAGTTTTTTTTAAAAGAGTAATTTGTAAAATATTAGTATCATTTACTTTCCCAGAGACAGGTTGCGACTGGAAGGGCATCCGCTGCGTAAAAACTTGCTGGATAAGTTGGCGGTTCATTCCGCTGTGGTGACCCTGGATTAAGGGACTACGCTGACAAGAAAATGAATGAATGAATAATATCATTTACTAAAACTTGTATTATTTTAGCAGTGTAATTGTATTTTAACTTGAGTACAAATATTCTGTTTCCTTTTCATCTGTGAGAGAACATCAACAAATAAAAAAAATCACAAGCACATTTAGTGCAGGGTTATTATATTATTAATCTATGATTAATTAATTATTATTATTATTAATAAATGTTTTTTTTATTTGTATAAATCATTAGATAGTTCCTATGTAATATTTTTATAAATTGCTGACAAGACATTGCAGGTGTTCAATACAATGCGTGTCAGTCTTGGTTTATTATATTCTTAATTATAAATATATTATTAATTAATTATTCTATTTTATTAACATTTTTAAAAAAATAAATCAATAGATGGTTCCTATGCAATGCTTTAATGGGTTGCTGAGAATACATTTCAGGTGTTAAATACTTTGCGTGCCAGTCTTGAAAATAAAAATAGGTGCTGGAAAAAGTGCTTAGAAAACCTTGATTTTTATTAGGCTGTGTCTGTATGAACTGTATGAAATCAGTGTCACATTTTTAATCGTGAGGTGATGGTAAATTAAGAGATGGTCAATTGTAAGATCTCTTGGTCGTCAGGTCATGTGATGTATTTTGCTGAACTGTGCTCAAATGTTATAAATGTAAAAACATCACATATTGAAGTGCGACTGCCGTGTGTCAATTTAGTTTGTGTGTGCTGCGCTCAAAGACTTTAGAAAACGGCGCAAAGTCGAACCATCCAAATACATCTTTATGATGGACGGAAGTTGCAGAGGCTGCAAACGTATAAAACATGAGGCCGTATTTAGTTTATATACACTATATACAACTGCAATGAACCAGCTTTTGGGGGTGGGGGCAGTTTGCGAAAGGTTTAGAACCCCTGGTCTATTAGGCTAGTTTAAATATTATTTCAAGATGTCACTATGCAGAGTGAGTGCATTTTCCCTCCTTCTCCTGGTTAAAAGATAAAGCTCTGGAAGTTGACAAAATCAAATAAACCCAACCTGGTTACGGCGATGTTAAATGATTTGACAAGGCTTGATATAAACCGTAAAGTTTACTTTAGTTTGTGATCAACTCTGGAGCAAATGCAGCTTAAAGTGTGACGTGCAGCAAACAGCCAATCACAATACACACAAGTGCAGCAAACAGCCAATCACAATACACACAAGTGCAGCAAACAGCCAATCACAAGACACATGAGAGAGTCAGTTTGACTAATTTCTCCAGAATCAGTGCAATTCACTTCTTTGTTCCAGATTATAGATATATCATAATATAAATAATAATAATAATAATGAATCTACATACATTTATGAATCTAATAATAATAATGAATCTAAATACATTTATTTGTAGTAATATGGGAGTTTTCACATTGCATCTTTAAAGGCAACAAGTTGTCTACAGAGACTGTAATTGTCTTCAGAAAGAAAACTTGTTTCTTTTCTCAAATTAGTCCATCAAAATAAATGTGTAGAGTTTTGAAATCAAAGTCTTCATTTGTTACCCACAACACATCAAGAGTTGATCAAGTTAAAATCTCATAATCTGACACAAATCTGATCTGTCGTAACTGGCAAATGGCATTGTCTGAACAGGGCTTCAGGGAGTCTGTATCGGTCGCTCATTGTCATTGCCTTACAGCGAGTTCACACCACAGGAGTTTATCCACTAACAAGTTTTGTGAAATTGCAGACAAAAGCACAAAATTGGATGTAAATCTTTGTTTGTTCAAGCGAGTGACAATCAAACAATGTGAATTATCAAAAACACAATCTGAGGGTGTAGGTCAGTGTTCCCTGCATCTCCTCAAATATTTTCTCCTCCCTAATCTTTCTAATTCTTTTTCAGAGCCGATCATTTGTTTGGTAAATTAATAAACTGTTAGCAAATGTGCACTGTGCACAAATATGGTTATTGGTTCATAATAAGTTGAAGCACATTGTTATATTTTGCTGTATTTGGCTTAACCGTTCTTGTGTGGCTTGCCAATGTATAGATGACTCTAACAGATGAAATAAGGAAGCTGACCAAAGTTCTTACAGGGAGAAAACTTTATTGAAGACAACTAATAGTGTAGGTCCTCATCAGTGATGTTAACTCATCCGTCTTCAAGTACCTTAAACCAAAGTACAGTCTGTGAGACACTACTTTATAACAAACGGCGTAGTCAGTTATGTCCGCAACACCTCCCTCACCACCCGCGTCCTCAGTTATATTCGTGCATAGGCGACAGAATAGAGAGGGCGGTGTCCATGACACATCCCTCAGCACTCGCGCTTTCTCAGTTATATCCGCGCATAGGGCGGCAGAAAAGAGGTACACGATACCTCGCTTCATTTTCATAACCGGTCACTTTCGTTTTCACATTGGGGTTTAGGGCGGCGTGACTGTCTTCTGACTAGAGCGGCAGTTCAGCTTGATCCGGCCCTGCATGTAAGCAATAACTGAGGTAAAAAAAAAAACTCTGGTTATTTATAGTGAGTCAGGAATCATCTGATTGGTGAATCATGTTTTAGCTAATGCTGGACCAGCTGTGGACAATTATAAGCATGTGATCCTCTCAAAAGTAGTTTATAAATAAACTTCACTTGAATGAACAGCCAAGCTACATGAAAAAGCTGCCGTTTTGAATATACCGTGTTTGTGTGGACAATGCCTCATTTTTCAGGACTCTGCTCTGCATTGTGAAGCTTCAAGTGAGCGCTGAGACTTCTTTTATGGGTAAAGCCCTTTCCACACTCACTGCATCTAAAACGATTCTCTCTTGAGTGGGTCTTCATGTGTCGCCTAATGTAGTCTTTGCGTGTGAGTTTAATTCCACACTGATCACACGTGAACACTATGGTTCCAGTGTGACCATTCAAGTGGTTCATGAGGCTAGATTTGGTTGTGAAGCTCTTTCCACACTGAGCACATGCAAACGGCTTCTCTCCGGTGTGAGTTCTCATGTGGTGATTGATTGAGCTTTTATGTGGGAAACTTTTACCACACTCTGTGCATGTGTAAGGTTTCTCTCCAGTGTGAACTTTCATGTGCACTGCAAGGCTTCCTGCATGATAGAAGCCTTTTCCACACTGTTGGCATGTGTACGACCTCTCTCCAGTGTGAATTCTCATGTGCACTGTAAAGTTTCCTGCGTGACGGAAGCTTTTTCCACACTGTTGGCATGTGTACGGCCTCTCTCCAGTGTGAGTTCTCATGTGGGTTTTAAAGTTTTCTTTTTGACAAAAACTCTTTCCACACTGTCCACAGGTGTAAGGCTTCTCCCCAGTGTGAATTCTCATGTGCATTGTCAAGTTTGTTGTATTACAGAAGCTTTTTCCACATTGTTTGCAGGTGTAAGGCTTCTCCCCAGTGTGAATTCTCATGTGCATTGTTAAACTTGATGTTTTATAGAAGCTTTTTCCACACTGTTTGCAGGTGCAAGTTTTCTTTCCTTTGTGAACTCTCATGTGAACATCAAGCTTTGGCTTTTGACTGAAACTCTTTCTACTCTGTTTACCGCTGAAATTACACTTAGATTTGGATTTCCGAGGTCTTCTGCATGATGAAGTCATTTTAGTCAGTGTGGGTTTTTCATCAGTCGTTATGTCTTGGTGTTTCTCTTCTATTTCATTCCATTGATGAGTCTCTTCTTTCAGGACCATCAGATCTTAAAAAACAACAAAAAAGTGAACTTTAGTATGAAGCCACAAAGCGATAAGCATGAAATGGATGTTTCACCCACAAATAAAAATGACCTTACCATTTACTCTCCGTCATGTGGTTTTAAACATTTCCTTTCTTTTGAAACACAAAGAAAGCCGGCATTTTTTTACAATATCTTCTTTTGTGTTCAACAGAATCAAGGGATAACTCATTAAGGGAGAGTAAATGATAAGGCTATTTTCATTTTTGTGTGACTCAGCAACTATCCCTTTAAAGGGTTTCTATTATGAACCTTTTTATACAAGATGTAAAATAAGTCTTTGGTGTTCCCAGAATGTGTCTGAGGTTTCGGCTCAAAATCAGATCATGTACCTTGCAGAATATTTCATTTTGGGGGTCAGAAGAAAACCAAGCTCTTTTTGTGCCTGTGGCTTTAAATGCAAATGATCAAATGCACTCGCTCTAGATTACTCCTGTTGTGTTCCCTCATGTGTATCTTCCACTGGATTTAAACATTTATAACTTTCTATAGAAGACCCGATTGACACAAATCCTACATGTTCATAGCTAGTGCGCATAATTCAGATTATATTAGTGAGTTTGCATTATTGTAAATAACTTATGCAAATGTTTCCCAGTACTGGTTTGCAACTGGACAGGTATCCACTGTTTAAAACATATGCTTGATAAGTTGGTGGTTCATTCCACTGTGGTGACCCCTGATGAATAAAGGGACTAAGCCGAAGGAAAATGAATGAATGAACTTTTGCAAAAGCTTAATGCCACGTTTTCTGTAAACTGTGATGAGGAAATGGCGAGATGACATCCCAGGTGAAAAAAAAAAATAATTAAATGCAATTAAAATACACTTAAATACCCACAAATACATTTTTAGTACATTGTTATTTTTTGTGTTAAATAAAAGTTTGATGGTTTTACACTATAAATATACTAATTAAAAGTATGTTTACACTTCAGTAGGACTTTAGTACACTTGACAAAAGTATTTTAAATACCAGTAATACTTAAATAAATTTTAGTGTACTACAATAAAGTACACTACAGAAAAAAAAAGTTTTATTAGTGTGTTTTTCAAAAGTGTGCTTTAAATGCTTTAAACATTAGTTGATTTTTAGTACACTGTTTACATACTAATCCTAAGTTTAAAATAAGTTAATATATAAAAAATCTATTAGTAATGTATTGTAGTACATTTTCCCAAAACTTGTTCTTAAGTACACTTAATGTGAATGCACAATTATCACTAACATGTAAATTGATTTTGAGTGTGGTAATCTTACCAAAACATTATTGTCTTGAAGTATGTGTGTGTTGTAGGTCAATGAATGATCAGGAAAGCCAAGAATGGGCATGCAGAAGGGATGACATGTTTGTGTATATCCAGTGTAGTCAATAATATGATAATCTAAGGAAACATGTTTTACATTGCATATAATGCTGAGTTCAGACTGCATGATTTTCAAAATATTCGTGTTACGGATGTTTTTCACACTACATGACTATCTGAGTTAATGTTTTGTCACTGCTTTGTTTACACTGCAAGATGGATCAGCGACAGGGAGTTTAACACTGCATGACTATACAAAAGGACAATCACAGACAACTTTGTCCAAACTATGTCTCACAGCCAAAAATACATATATCTTTTGTTATTAACTACATGATGAGAAAGAAGCCTTTAATGGGGTAGAAAATGTATATATTTGTTAACCTGGCATGGTTTCCGCTACATTTATTCTTCCATAGCGGGGCACCACAACAAAATTCATCCCGCCACAGCTACATTACAGCTTCTCATTCAAAACATTTTATTTTTTTTAATAGCCGGTAATAATCGCACCAAAACATATTCAAACACGAGTGAATTATAACAGCGCCAACTTCTCTGTAATCGTAGTAGTGCTGTGTATTATTTGTTTACCCCGTTAAGAATAAGTGCTGACAGACTGACTGACAGGTGTATGATGTGAATAAGTGCTGACAGACTGACTGGCTGACTGACAGATGCATAAGGCCAGCAAACACGATCTATGGCCGTTTCACTTTACTTCAGGATGCATTAATATCGTTCTGTAGGTCTATTAGAGACATTCATAAATATACAAGCAAAGAGATCTGCATGCTGTAGGCTATTACATAAATGTGATCTCGACTTCTAATACTGGGGTCACGACAATTCTCATTGAAATAACACCACAGGTAGTTGGTAGATCTGTCTAAAAAAGGCCTGCCGCTACAGCTGGAAAAAATCCTAGAGGAAACACTGCCTAGGTTTTGAAGGGAACTAGCAATTTCTCTTTCTTTTTCCTTTTTCGGCCCAGTTGAGCAAAAGGAAAATGAATGAATGAACTTATGCAAATGCTTAATGCCACGTTTGCTGTAAACTGGAGTAATGAGGAGATAGCAAGATGACATACTTTGCAACTTGTTTTCATTCACTTGTACTTTTGTCTTTGTTTTATTGCCTTTGTGCATGTCCCGAGGCTTAGCTGAAGTCCTACATGATGACATTTTATATACCTGACAAGATGCAGAAATGGCATCAAAAAAGGTGACCTGCTGTTTGTCTAATCAGGGACAGTGACAACATAAATATACATATAATAATGTTAACTCGGTGGTTGGGAATGTGTAATGTCTGTTAATGAACATCTAGGATTATTTGTTAGCCCCAGGTATAGCATGAGCAGTGTGGAACGTGCTTACAGATAACCAAGGATTTTGTTATTCAGAGTGGGAATGACTCAGGATTATCCATTTGAAGTGTGAAAAGCCCTAAGAATACTCAGCATAAGCAGAGCACAAAGACAAACAGGGACATACAAAAATTGTCAATCATGTCATAGCAGTGACTTGATCTCATATGCTACTGTTTTAGAACTTCCAATTCCAGTGCCTCTTGGAGAAATGACCAGGAATAATAAATGGCAGAAAACTAACACTACTTGCTCTGCAAACAAGTGTCTTCATGATTATATACAAACAAAAATAATAAAAATAGAAATTTTGACTTTGCAACATTAAGCAGCATTAGTCATGGGCCAGTATAAGATTCTAATACTAATAACCTTGAATAAAAATATCACAGTTTCACGGTACTGTGATTACTGCTCTGAAATGAATTCTTTTTTATATGTGTGGGTAAAAAAACACAGTTTTTCCATTTGAACACAAAATATTTTCTTTTGAGAAACTTTAAAAGTGTTTTGGAGCAGTAAACATGTCAGGCTGAATAATTTTAATGAATCATTGACTTTTGCTGTCTTCATTAGTTTCAGAAACACAGATTTCTTTATGATTTAAAACGGCATCTTTTGATATCTTTTCTGCTGGAGATACTGTTGTCCTGAAAAACTTAAAACATAAAAACCCTACATATACAGTAGTAATGATATAGCAGAATATTTTGTCAGCTTTATACCTTGAAAACTGTTATCGCCCCATGCCTAAGCAGCATAACACTGTTTTTAGTATCTACAAATTAATTCTTTAAATAAAGTTTCAAGCAAAAAGATTTCAATGTCTGCTGGTACACAAAGAATATGGTCAATATTTTGATGAACTTTACACTGAAATGTTTGCTTATCATCAGCATGCTGTAATCCATTTCTTAATCAGCAAAAGTCATTTGTAGACTAGTTTGTTGGCCAGTTGTAGTCAGTGCAATGCTAAACATTATTGTTCTACTATAATTTGTTTATTTTGCCTCATGTTGTCCCACAACATCATCAATATAGTTTAGAATACTGTACAATGTTTTATAATAATTAATTACTTTAGAGTCCATTTCATTCAGCATGTTTAAAATTGTGGGCATCCACGTTTTTGACATGCTTTAAACCAGGGTTTCTGCAGGTTTCACCAAGTTAAATTAAGGACTTTTTAAGAAAATTATGAGTGAACATTTATACTCATAAAGGGCTAAAAGCTAAGGAATTTTTCAAATGGCCCAGATGAAAATGGTTTTTATTTGCCCTTAAAAATATTATGATTTTAATGCATTTAATAATACAATAATAAATGAATAATATAAAATTACAATATTTTAGATATTTCTTAGCAAAAGATTTTAAGTATTGTGTAAAAACAAGCCTTTACTTGTATCCATACACTTTTTCCCAACATAAATTTTGAAAAAATACAAAAAAATTAACAAATGTTTTAAAAATTTTTTAAACTATAATAAACTAAATCTATGCACAACAATCTGTCCAGGTCGATGTCCTCAGCAGTAAATACATGGATCACATTTGAACAAATGTTATTGTAAAAGAAATAATTAAACTATTATGATAAACAGAGTAAAAATGTCCTTTTTTAATTAAAAAGTGGAAAGTTTTATTGAGATGGATTGTTGGTGATTGTATGGGTTTTGGCCAGATTGGGTAGTAAATCATGAACAAAGGAAAATGAAGACTTGTTTTAAAAAGATTTAAGACCTACAACACAATATTTCAGTAAATTTAAGACTTTTTAAGGCCTAAAATTTAGATTTAGGAATTTAAGACATTTTATGATTCGCGGAAACCCTGTTTAAATACAATAGCCCCGGTAATTAGTTATTATAATAATGTGGTTCTAACTCAGATACTATTAGTAACAGCCAGTAACAACTACTAGAAACAAGTTTAAACCCATAAAGAATTTGGTAAAAAAAAAAAAGGAATTTACAATAATACATAAAATAATGACAAAAGACCTGAGAACAAGTAACAAGAAAGAAACTTATTCCTGTCTTTCAATGAGTGCTTATGTGCATTTAGGAGAACTAGGCAGCACACTCAGGACTGCAAGATGGATTTAATTTATTATTCTTATTATTAAAATATCTAAATGAGGATTAAATGACTGAGTTGGTCTTTGAGAATAAAAACCAACCTGTTTGTTCCTGCAGATCTTCCTGTTTGACTGTGAATGTTTCTTCAATCTTCACATCTTCACTCTCCACTTTAATAAACGCCATCTTTATAACAGTGTGGAGATCAGTCGCTTCAGCAGGAGTTTTTCTCTGTTTGGACACTTTATCCTGTTTAAAATGAACAAAACAATAAAAATGTCCTGTTTAAAATAAATAAAACATTGAACAGAAACAAAATAACTTCTCTTTAGAAGTGTCTTCATATGAGTAATCAACAAAAAGAAATCGGGTAAAACGTTTCTTTAAAACACTTTTTACACACTTTATTCAAACAATAGCTCTCAAATAATGAGAGATTATAGATTATAGAAATAGTACTACGTTGTATAAAAAGGTAAAATAATATTTCCAACAGCAGGAACATAATTTAATATCGTTTAAAAAACCTAAAACTTCAGAACTTTAACTTTAAATCGGTTTATATCTGTAAACGTTTTAAAACAAACCTTAGTCCAGTTGAACCATAGCGCTGATGCGGCGCCGCCTGATGACGTCACAGGCTACGCCAAAATAAAAGTCTTTTTTTTTGTTTAGCTTTTTTGCCACTTACTGTTGCATTCATGACTTATTGATACATTTCGCCCATCTTTTTCTCTTTACACTATATCTGCTCTCTCTTTCTCACACACAAACCTTCCCAGATAGCAAACCAATGTTGATTCATCGAATAAGGGGTTCTGGGGAGAAGAGACTTTCCTGAGGTACATTTAAAGTGCTTTTAAAACTTATAAAATGGCAAGAAATATAATAATAATAATAAATAATAATAATAATCTCACAATTATTAAGAGAGGAAATAGCTATGAAAGGAAAATAGTATATTGTAGCCACACCTGTTTGTTTTGTGTCTACACAAATCCATTTTGTCAAATACTACACACACACATTAGTAGTCATATTAACTTAAAATATTGTAATTATTATACGTGTATAAAATAGACATATAAGTAATGTGTTGTAGAAATGCAAGTCATTATGAACTGGATTAAAAAAAGTTTCTCAAAATTGTCTTAAAATGTTTAGATTAAAGGTTTGGATAAACTTTAAATACTAAAGTGTGTGTTTGTGAGAGAGATCTAATCTATTTTAGATTTTATGAATATTTTTTTATTTTATTAATCTTTTTATTTTTATTTATCTATTTTTACTTTATTTATGTGTTTTTTCTGTATTATATTTTATATCCATATTTGTTTGCACTACTGTCCTTTTTGCACTGTCTTGTTTGAACGTAGTGTCGTTGCACTGCTTTTGCCAATATGAATGTAGTTATTTGTCATGCCAATAATGCACCTAAAATGTGAAATGTGAGGGAGAGAGAGAGAGAGAGAGAGAGAGAGAGAGAGAGAGAGAGAGAGCAGAAATAGTATAGAGTGAAAAACAAGAAAGAAATGTGTCAACAAGTCATGACTGCAACAGTAAGGGGCAAAAAAGCTAAACAAAAAGACCTTTATTTTGGCGTGGTGTGTGACGTCATCAGGTGGCGCCGCTGCAGCGCTTTGATTCAATTGGAGAAAGGTTTGTGTTTTTAAATGTTTACGGATATAACCCGATTTAATTAAAGTTTCAGGTTTTTCATCCAATGCTACATTATGTACCCGCTGTTGGAAATATTATTTTAACCATTTATACAGCGTAGTACTCATTTATTCTCAGTAACCGAGGGCTTTTGATTGAAACAGAAAAGTGTGTAATGCGAGTTTTATAATAGAGGCAAAGTTGGTTTTATATTCACACATTAGTTCATTTAGAAGTGTCTATATTGTTTACCATGTTACTTTGAATATTTGATCTGAATTAGCATGCAAGTATGACTTGAAATCAACATTAGCACTGTTTATTTGACTGTGAACAATGATGTACTTTGATAGTCATTTGATAGAGGTAAAGTTGGTTTTATATTCGCACATTTGTTCATTTAGAAGTCTCTATATTGTTTACCATGTTACTTTAAATATTCACTTAAAATTAGCATGCAAGTATGACTTAAAAACAACATTAGCACTGTTTATTTGACTGTGAGCAATGTTGTACTTTGATAGTCATTGGCTGAAAATATGATTTCACTGTTTGGAGTTTGCAAATAATACTTTTATGTAATTATATTAAGGGGAAAGTCTGAATGTGCAAATATAAAACCAACTTTACCTCTATAATGCCAGTGACCTGCGACCCCCACATTCATTTATTTAGCAGTCTCTATATTGTTTACCATGTTACTGAAAATATTCGGTCAGAATTAGCATGCAAGTATGACTTTTAAACAACATTAGCACTATCTAATTGACTGTAACCAATGCTGTACTTTGGTAATTATTAGCTGCTCATATTATTTCCATATTTAGAGTTTGCAAAGAATACATTTAGGAAATTTTAATATTAAGGGGAATGTCTGAATACCCAAATATAAATCCAACTTTACCTCAATTATCTATAGAGGTAAAGTTGGTTTTATATTCAGATATTCAGACATTCCCCTTAATAATATCATTTCAGAAAAGTATTCAAACAATAGCCACAAATGAGCTGATTAAAACTAGTACTCCATTTCATTGAGATAGGTTGGTTTTATATTCACACATTCTGACTTTCCCCTTAATAATATAATTTCATTAAAGTATTATTTGCAAACTCTAAATAGCGAAATCATATTAGAATTCAATGACTATCAAAGTAAAACATTGTTCACAGTCAAATAATCAGTGTTAATGTTGTTTTCAAGTCACACTTGCATGCTAATTCCGATCAAATATTCAAAGTAACATGGTAAACAATATAGAGACTTCTGTTTTAAAGAAACGTTTTACCTGATTTCTTTTTGTTAATTGCTCTCATTAATAGAAACTGTTGAAGCAAGTGTTGAATTTTGTTTCTGTTCATGTTTTATTAATTTTAAATAGGACATTTTTATTGTTTTGTTCATTTTAAACAGGATAAAGTGTCCAAACACAGAGAAAAACTCCTGCTGAAGCGACTGATCTCCACACTGTTATAAAGATGGCGTTTATTAAAGAGGAGAGTGAAGATGTGAAGATTGAAGAAACATTCACAGTCAAACAGGAAGATCTGCAGGAACAAACAGGTTGGTTTTCACTCTCAATGACCAATTCAGTCATTTGATCCTCATTCAGATATTTTAATAATAAGAATACTAAATTAAATCCATCTTGCAGCCCTGAGTGCGGTGCCTAGTTCTCCTAAACGCGCACAAGCACTTATTGAAAGACCGAAAAAAGTTTATTTTGTCTCTTGTTCTCATATCTTTTGTCTTTATGTATTATTAGTCTCCCATTTTCTCTATCTTCTTAGGGTTATTGCTTTTCTTGTTCTCCTACTGTTTGTGTAATGCGTCATTGAGCACTTACGCTATATAAAATAAATAAAAACAATCAATTTAAAAGGTTTAACTGAGCTGGAGATACTTGACCTACAGTATTCTCATAGAAGACTCAAAATTTTAAGCCGTAAAAAGTCATAAATTTACTGAAATATTGTGTTGGAATTAAATCTTTTTAAACATTTTTTTTTTTTTTAAACAAGTCTTCATTTTCCTTTGTTCTTGTTTTGTTACCCAGTCCGGCCAAAACCCATACAATCACCAACAATCCACCTAAATAAATCTTTAAACTTTTTATTAAAAAGGTCATTTTAACCTTATTTATCATAATGGTTTAATTATTTTCCTTACAATAACGTTTGTTTAAACGTGCTCCATGTATTTACTGCTGAGGACATCGACATGGACAGATTGTTGTGCATAGATTTAGTTTATTATAGTGTTTTAAAACTTTTAAAACAGTTGTTCATTTTTTATTATTATAAAGAAAGTTTATGTTGGAATACAAGTTGAGCTGGCTTGTTTTTAAACAATATTAATTTTTTTTCAAAGAAATATCTAAAATATATTAAAAATATATATTATTAATTTATTATTGTATTATTTAATGTATTCACTTGTAATATTTGTTTGATGGGGCAAATAAAAACCTTTTCGATCTGGGCCATATGAAAAGTTCTTTAGCCTTTAGCCCTTTATGAGTCTAAAATTTCATTCATAATGGTCTTAAAAATGTCTTAAGAAGTCTTACATTTAACTTGGTAAAACCCACAGAAACCCTGGTTTAAAGTATGTCAAAAAATGTGGATGCCCCTAATATTAAACATGTTGAATGAAATGGACACTAAAATAATTAATTATTATAAACATTGTACTGTCTCAGAATATTGACCATATTCTTCATGTAGCAGCAGGCGGCGCCATTGGAATCTTTTTGCTTGAGACTTTTTTAAAGAATAAATTTTTAGATCCTAAAACCAGTGTTTTATAATTTATCTGTTTTTATTATTTTCCTTACAATAACATTTGTTTAAACGTGCTCCATGTATTTACTGCTGAGGACATCGACCTGGACAGATTATTGTGCACAGATTTAGTTTATTGTAGTTTTTTAAAACTTTTAAAACATTTGTCCATTTTTTATTATTATGAAGAACGTTTATGTTAGAATTAATGCTGTCAATCGATAAAAAAATTAACTAATTAATCGCACCTTTTTTAAAAAAATTAATCGCGATTAATTGCATTTAAAATACTGAAACTTGTAATTTTGCCTATTTAAATGTAAAATTAATGTAAACGCTAGAAAAAATATTTAAATTCAAAATATAATTGTTTAATAGAATTTTTGTTTAACTTGTAACACAGATTTCTTCATGTAAACAACATACCCACAATAAACCATCAAGATCCTGGCTTGACAGCCATATTTATTACAGAAATTAAAACACAGGCATGTTAATGACATTTAAATTTCAAAACAATCAATGCCAATAAAGAAAACATTGATTTCCATGTTGGATTCTAAGTGGACTGCAAAAAAATGCCAAAATACAGGAATTGCAAATATGAAAAATGAAAAATTATAATAATAAACTATAGAATAAAGACTGTTGCACTCATTGTAAAGTTTTATTGCTGTGAGTTGAGAACATTAATTATAGAGTAGAAACAATTTTGCTTAATCCTCCTTTACATTCATCTAGTTGCTAAGACTAGGAGTATCCCGCAAGTGCACAGAGACTCCCAAATGGCCGCAAATGAATGATAATTTCTTGCAAACTGGTCGTTAAATACATTGCACACCCCTCTCGCCCCTACTCATATACGTCGCTCACTCCACCCCTGACACCCCTCAACGGGCCTGACACAGACACGCACACAGACAGACACATACAACGCGCTGCAGATGTTTTGGCCCCAACGGCCTTCCATACTGGAGAAACTCCCCTCAGATTCAACACGCATGATCACGTTCATCAAATTTGCTAAGCGTCCTAAACTAAGCGTCCTAAAGTATTACTGTATTTCACAAGGATTCTGACACAACAACGCGAAGCATACGCTTTCGTTGCGTTTAATGAGGAAACACGCTAAACTTGGAGGGCTCATGCTGAAAGGCAGAGTAATGCCCTGTCTTTGACAGCTCGCGACTTCACCAGACGTTTTGAGTAC